TGTTCAAATGACTTGGAAACTGAACAAGAAAGACCTGTTTCAGTAAAACGTATCAAAGCAATTTACTTAACAAAAATGTGTTAAATATTGTCTGTCTGATTTCCAGGAACAATTTACAGCAATGAGGGATTTATACATGAAAAATGGTCAGGGATTTGTCCTAGTGTATTCCATCACAGCACAATCAACATTTAATGATTTACAAGACTTAAGGGAACAAATTTTGCGGGTTAAGGTAAGTGTTGTTTTCTTTTGCAGAATGTGTTTAAGAATATTTTGCTCTTTGACTTGCAAAGTTCATGTTTTAGTTTGCCATCGTAGTATAAATATGTAGTGCTGCCTTGAAAATGTTAAAGCACACATCCATAGCAAATAACATGAACTGTTTGGTGTAAAAATACTTATTCATTCTTAATTCTGTGTTTGAGCTTCTGTCGAGGAACAAGGCTTCATTTTGCGCCCACTCTTGAGACCTTAATCGCCTTCATTTCAGGCTTCGTCATTGGAGTGTGGTATTAATCAGTTCTGAGAGCCTTCGGTGATAAACGAAAATGTTGTTACAGCCATGCACAAGCTTTCTGAACATGACCTTGATACTGTAGTGTGAGGTATCAGTTTAATTTGTGAAGGGAGAAGTTTATACCAGACGGCAAAAAAGTTACTTGATTTAAATGAAGTCGCATAAGTTGTTTGGAACGTACCTGAGTGTGTGTGCAAGAAGATTTATTAATTTCAGTAGATTTACTACACAGAAAAGTATTTTAAATTTTGAATGTAAAAAATTATTGTTATCTGAATTGGTTTTGAATTGTACTCCAATTTCTTGGATTGTGGGTCAAACTGTGTTTTCTATTGGTTGATGGCTGATCACATGTTTAAAACAGTGTAGATAAATCAGAGAGAACCATTTCAGTCTCGTGTAAAATATCTTTTTGGTATTAGAAATAGAAAATATCTGTGTAATGATTGAATACACCTTTTAGCACATAAATGAGCTTGAAGGTGGCTGGCTTATGGGTTGTAGGTAGCACTGTGCAGTCTGGTAGAAGTTTTCCAACATTTCAGAGGTCCGCGCCGCCTCCGTCATCGGGGCAACGAGTGATCCAAGAATGTCAGCTGTAATTAACTGTACAATATATAATTGGTATTTATTCTCCATCTGCAGATGAGCTCCTGGGAAGGAGTTCATAATGATCATTCTTCTCCATTACAACTGGATTGGTGATGCAGTGCATTTTATACCTTCTTGTAGTTGATGTATTTAATGCCCTCTCGTGGTTAGTCTGCAGCATTTTCCGTTCATCATTGTCGTATGTACAGGATACAGAAGATGTACCGATGGTGTTGGTGGGAAATAAGTGCGATTTGGAAGACGAACGAGTGGTAGGCAAGGACCAGGGGGCAAACCTGGCACGGCAATTCAGCTGCGCCTTCATGGAAACATCTGCCAAAGCCAAAATTAATGTAAATGATGTAAGTTAACGACACAATCAAGAATACTTGTTTCTTCTTCCCGTACCATAGTGTTGAAGCTACACAGTCAGGAAGGGATGCTGATATTTATTTTTCAAGCATATTTATTTACGCTATGCATAAAATTTCATGTAGCGTTGTGGTTATTATCTTCATCATTTCCAGTATTAGGGCTATTGAGATGTGTCACATATATTACAGTGTATCATTTTAGAGGTTTTGTTAAACTTCTTTTCCTTATAGTTGGTATTTAAAACCGGCGTCAATATCCTTAGATGCCAATGCACATTCATTAACACGCTCTGATGCATTTAACAGTTCATCGTGTGCTGTGTAATACTTTCCTCATATTCAGATCATAGTCTTTTTCTTTTGGTTTATTAATAGCTAACGTACTGTACACTTGAACTCCTATTCTTTTCCCGGTATGTGATCAGTAATTGATTGCTTACATCGGAATGCACATTGATACTTCCTAATATATTTGTCTGTGTATGGAGTTCGCCTTGAGAGATGAATATCGGGTAAAATGTTGTATGTAGTTGAAAATTATGATATTCCTTGGTAATTCCTGCAGTCAGATTTATTGCCTTTCGTATAAATAGGTACTACGATAGATTTCTTCTACTGCCATGGTGTAAGTTTGTGGATCTCAGAAAAACAAAATCTGCAGCTTTGGTTTTCGTAACATTGCCTCAATTTTCTTCGTGATACTGATTTTAAGCAACTGTTTGGACATGTAATGACCATTTTTATTCTGTAAAGTGATGGTGGTTTGTATTTATGTTTGCAGATATTTTATGATTTAGTGCGACAAATTAACAAGAAGTCACCAGAGAAGAAGCCAAAACAAAAAAAGAAGTCCCTTTGTGTTCTTCTATAAGAAAGACCAAGTGGCGCATGTGGTGCCAACCCAAACTGTACATAACATAATGTTGTGGCCTGGCACCGACAGGATGAGGGGTGGGGAAGGAAAGGGCTTCCCCAGCCCACAGTTATCTTATTAAAATGAATGAATCCGTGGTCACGTTGTTTTCCCAAGAGCCTGTCGAACTGCTAGCATTGGCCCAAGCCGGTATTGGGCGTCGTCGTAGTCCCGAGAGCATGTTGTGAGAAACGACACAGGAAGTGCACGAGGATCTGGCAGCGAGCGTACGTGCCATTCTTTGTGCCGAGGCGTCGACTCTGGAGGCCCACCACGAAGACCAGTGGCATTTTGCTACATGTGGGCAGATCCTCCTCTCTGTTTGGAAAATTCTGCACGACACCGTGACAGGACTCGAAGATCTCACTAGTTGAAAGAAAACAAAACAAGAATAAACAGCTAAAAAAAGTTTGTAGTGAAACTACTCTTTTTTCAGTCTGTGGCCTTAATACTTTGTGTACTGAGTCCTCCCACCCCTGTGTCCCCTTTCATGCCCCCTCCATGGAAGACCAAGGTCCAGATCAGTTGGCTTGACGCACGCCACTTCCACCGGGCCTTCGTTTTTTTATCGGACGCCACCGGTCTGCCCGAGCCGTTCCATCTCCGCGGCTCCTCCGGACTGGATGGAACGGAAACAAACTGACCAACCAAGTGACTAAATGTCATTCATATCTCATTCAATGTAAAGCTGCCACGGTCTCTTTGTAAATTTGTGCAGAAAACAAAAATAACCACAAAAAAAAGGAAAGAAAGTAAACAGTTATTATGGTGATAGTGTTTCCTACTTTTTATCTGGAAATGTAGAGCAGTTTATTCACATAATTCAGCAAATGTTGTAACCCCCTAGTTTTCCTTCCACTTCTCACCAGAGTAATGAAAAAATAGTAATTATTGCATATAGATAATTTGTTTTTGAGTGTCATATTAGTTGTTATGTAAAATGTATGTATTTTGCCTTGTTGCTGATTGGCTATTGTAATGAATATAGTTTTTGTCTCTTGCAATCCTGTCGGCCTCCCCCTTCCAGATGTAATTTTGAAGATAACTATTTTGCCGCCGTCACGCGCGCGCTCTGATAGCAGTACAAATGAGGAAGGAAAACTGGAGCTTGCGGAAGCCCCGACGCGTGGCCAGACGAAAGACAAAGTGGGAAATGAAAGAATTTTGTCCTCTCTCTTCATGCAAGCTGCTGTGCTTGAGGTATTTAAAAAGACCTGGCTTTTATTATGTAACATATTTTTGTATATTTTTATGTGGTTGTGTTCCTGTGTCGGACATCATGATTAAAAATGTGCAGGTGCATAGTTGGCAATACAACAGATTAAGAATGCATTTTCTAACTTTTATGGAAATATGTCTGAAAGAATGCGCGGCCATGTTGCGCTTTTTCATTGAAAGACGTTGTCTGTTTAAATATTACTGATTCAGCATCAATGTTTTTGTTTCTGCATAATGAGGATAGGTGTAATATTTTTGTCACAATTAATTCCATTTGGTAATTGTATTTATATGTGAAAGGGAAACTCCTGAGGTGGTCGTTCTTTTGTTTGTGAGAATGGATTGCCAGAGCTTGTTTCAGTGTAATGGCCCAGAGGAGAAGCAGAAAAGTAACTCTCATGGACTTGCACAGTATTGAGTCTGGGCCCCCCACCACCACTTTGTACACTTTTCAAATATCGTATTGTCCATGTACAGATTTGCCTTCTGTTGAATATTTTAGAAGTTTTATTTGTTGTCGCAGAGAGCTCGCTCGCCAGTTAGAGTGTACGTAAAATCCGTTATGTTTACATGCAGTTTGCATTCAGAGATTGTACTTTGTGCATATTGATCGGGCGCGGGGACATCGAAACGGACCTCGAGGCGGAGCGATCGCCTCGAGGTGCTTCCTGTCGTCATTTCGCAGAAAGCAATGTCTGCCTCAGTGGAATTGAACTTCTTTCCCCACTTTGTGGTTTGTCCCACGCCAACACGTGAATTAAAGTTCTTGTGCGTGGAATTGTTGATTGACGTCCGCAGGCACAGGGTATTTTGAGCAAGCAGCGTGCAGTTCCAGGTTTGTAGTTTCTCTGGCTTGGTGAGGACACTTTAAAGACGTGTTTTTGAAATTTCTGTTGTATAATTTATTGCTTTTAGCACAGGTGTTTCTTCCCAAATTGCATTGTTTTTATAATGTTATATGAAATTATCGATCAGTTGTGGAATTTTGATCTTCCAGTTATTAGCAGTGGAGTAGTAACCAGGTAAGAAGCAGGCCCATTAGCAATCAATCACTCATCAAAAACCATTTTCACTCCTTTATTGTAAATGCTTCATAAACTGGTAATAAATGATTTTTCTGTACTTTTTCTTTCCACTTTCTGCAGTTTCCAAAACTCAGAACTTATTATAATTTTCTCCTGGTTCGTTACCTCCTCCAAACTCGTTCTCTGTTCCCTACGTCCTTTCTAAATCGCAGTTTGCAGTCGTGCTGCCAACTCCGTAAACATTTGATTCAATTCACTTATTTAATATTGCGTGGACGTGCTACCAGTTTTGTCTCGACAGTCTAAGACTGGCAAACGATACTTTGGAACTTTCCTGGCCCCCCGCAACTTTCTACAAGCTTCCAGGTAAGTGGTTTGTTAGTGTGCTGCAATATGCAGATTACTTGCATGTTAACATAACATAATTAATACGTTCTTCAAGGAACATTTCAGATTCAACGCATTCTTGCGCATTACATGTCGCTGCTCATGATTTATCAGTAAACTGTGATGACTTACAACTGATGTGTCGCATGAAGCAGCGAGTGAGTGCATCATTTCACGTCTTCAAATCCTATTGTGCTGAGACAAATTGGTACTAAAAGTAACATATTCTAGGATAAGGGCACGACGGTCAGCAACAATATATTAATTTAGCAAAAACAATTTTAATGGGCGATGACCAACAGTGAACCATGAAGGTTTACTGGCCCGACTAAGGAACTCCATTCTACTCGAAAGTGATTAAATGTGACCAGTGCTGGGAGGGCTCCTTCATGTGTCCCTACGGGAACAAGAAATGTGGGAGTTTGGTCCGGCGGCGACAGAGGAGGCCATGCTGAGACCTCAACCTCTGCCTCAGTTAGAGGCACATCCTCTAGCAGTCCAGAAAATTCACGGTGTCCCCGACGGTGCTGCAGAGGACTTGACGTCCGCGGATAGCATGAGGGTTATTCCCCGCTCAGAGGTGACAGTTGTGCTTAATATTAAATTGTTTTTTGTTTTCCCCGCTACTCCACGTATTTCGTTATTTTCCGATTAAACTGTTTCATTGCCGGCTGGAACTTGTCTGGCCGTAATCAGTCGCGCCTCCGGCAAGAGAAAGTTTTCTAGCACAGGATTTCTGCTCGGGCAGTCGGAAGGATAACAAATCGATCAAATGCAATTAGCAAGCGTGAATGTTGTTTAAATCGTTTCGAAACAATTTTCAGACGTGTGGAGCTCGTAATTCATTGTTTCTGCGTCCGCCTCGTGCTTTGAAGGCTGACATTTTAATGCAGGATTGATCACTTTTGTTTCCAAATTCCTCACTTTCTGCAGTCGTGGCGGGTCTCGTATTGATGATGATCTGGCAATAAAGAAGAATAAATTCTGTTGTCATACGAAAACAGTAAGGAACCTTCATAAACAGCCTGCTCTTTCATTTGATGTGAATTAACTTAAAATGACTATTTTGACTATAAATTTCACATTTGGAAATGCCGTGAATTTAGTGTCTCGTCGCACTTCTAACCAAAGCAAACGCTCCTTTTTCGTTGGTTAATGTTGTTCATATTAGTAATTGAATTTAGATTACGCGCGTCGCAGTGCATAGTCAACATTCAGTTGAAGTTTTTTTATAATTTGTTTCATCTTTTTGTGTTTTAACGTGTCGGAAAATTTCAATCGTGTCCTTTTTATGTTCATACAGTCGTATAAATATTGAGGAAAACGAAGCAGAAACAATTTTTTCGTCAAAGCTCATTTTGAATGGAAGGACTCGTGTTTGTGGTTTTCTCATTACATTTTTCGTGAATGGACAATATTCAGCGAAATTTTGCTCTGTGTATGCACAGAGATGTGATGCCGTCAGGGAAGGACACAAACCGACATTTCATCCGACTAATAGAAAATGGTCCGATAATTCAGCGCAATAAAGCCCAAGTTCGGTGTGTGTCTCCTTTCACTGACATGTTCCTTCTCGCATATCCCAGGTTCTTCCTGAAAAAAACAAAATATCGCTGGTTTTATTCAGTGTTTATCCGATCTAGTGAGATCGACGGCATTTTGTTCGAACGAACGCAAACCCCTTCCGCCGAAACTGAGCGGCTGGAAGGTAGAACTCGATTGGCTGGGCCACGTAAGGGAAGGGCGAACCTCGTACATAAACATTATGAACACTCTGTGAACAAGTAGTTCATTGTTTCTTGTGGTATCTGAAAGACCTGTTTTTGTGGACACGACAAGGTAAGTAGTCAAAGGCCAAGTCATTGCAGAGTTACAGAAACGTCGTTTTTAGTGTGTCCATACGCCAAAGCCAGATCCTATCCTCTTATCAAAGTGGACGCATGGTCTGAGGAGGGGTCTTTGCCGGTCTGACAGTGGGTTCGAATCCTGCCTAAGGCGTGGGCGTGTATACGCGTCAATTTGTCCCGTGATGTCCTACACGGGTAGAGGCCAGGGTTAGGTTAGGGTGGGGGCCTGGAGATGCGTCGACCCCCGCGTCCAAGGAGTCCTCCCAAATGCAGAAAAATTATCCAGAAAACGACAAGAGAGCTCTGACGCATATTCCGCCAGCAAACAGGGAAATGTTATTTCTGTCTCTTTTTGCTTAAATAATTCGTTGCTATAGAAATTAACGTCCATTAAAAATAATTTCCATAAGTATTTGTCGCGTCCTAAAGTTCATTGTTTGGGGCATATCTTGCGGGCGGGTCCTCATACTTCGATTACTCAGGGCACTTTAATTAAATTGAATAGGTGGAAACCGGAAATAGTCCACCATAGATATAACAGTTCTTGTAAAAACTTCACATTCTCTCCAAATTTGTGTTGGTGACACAGATGCGTTCTGAACCAGACTCTCTGATCTTAATTTTTTTTAAATTGTATAATGCGGCATTCGTTTTTGTCGTAACAGAAGCAGTGGCTTCAACCTTCCCAATCAAAACTGTTAGTTTCGTAAAAGTCGATATGAATATTTGGATGTCAAGTGACCGCCTGCTCTTGTGTTCGGATTCTCGTGTCGGGTGGATCCATTCAATTTGCACTCGTCATTGAATTTTGATGGGCTTGTTTCTGGTGTTGTTAACAGACTTGGACAAATGGTAAGTGTTGCAGGATTAAGAACCATAAACATTTATTTACTTTCGTTCTAAATTAGGACAGTAGATAAGTAAAAGCGGTTTGATGAAAGTGAATAAACTGAAGCAGGAAAAGTGTGAATGTTAATTTTTAGATTGAATCTTGGAACTCGCGACTCGCGTGTACCATGTTCTGTGGAAGTACCAGAGGCCTCGCTGACCACATGCAGCAAATGCGCATCGACCGTGTAAAACTGGCAGTCCGTGGAAATCCCAGCTTTCTTGGGCTCGGAATTATGCAGCCAGCAAAAGTTTCTCGGCGTCGCGTAAACCTGTAACGAGTTTGTGGAAAGTGCGCACAGATACTTTTTACTTTCCACCTGAGAGTCACTGCTAGATAGAAATTCCTCTGGTAAAGGCTGAAGGACTGCAAATTCTACAAGTATTTTGAATCAGGGCGAAGATGATGGAGGCAGCAAGGACCTCTGAAACGTCGGTGAGCTGCTACCGAACTACACGGCGCAACAACCCAGAAGACAGGCATCTTCAGACTCACCGCCGTGGAAACCTCAAATCCTACATAAATAGGCGTCTTTAAATACCAGCCGCCATGTTGTTGTACAAGACGGAGCACATGTTTATAGCTGAAATCACTCTTTCAGATGCTGGGGTGGCAAGTGATTCCACGAGTCGCAATTTCCTTTCTTTGGCTTCAGAATTTTGCCAGTGGAAGGAATCACACTGCCAAGAAAGTGATTAAACCTGCAACAAGGGATCACGTGGCTGGATCCAGTGCCTTGAGCCCCGAAGTTCATGGCACTCCGGGTATCGTTGTCCTGTATTCAAAACACTCCACGAAGGCGGAATTTGTCACTGATAAACACGGTAAAGTTATTGAGCGAATTTGACAGTACTTAGTACAGATACATGACAGAAACAAATCTGACGTGTAATGCTTTCCGAAAGACATTCTTGACTTCCTGCAGCAAAGCTCATTTCTTGAAAGAGAACATAAAATATTTAATTTAATCTCTTTACGATGCCTGAAACGAGAGTTGAATAAAAAATTTATACTTGGAATTACTGTTCTCTTCCACAGGTTCGTTATGATATGTAACCGTAACTGTCTAGAATCTCAGGAAATATTTTGGTGGGACATTCAAAGATATTGGGCGCTGTAAACAAATTTTGTCATTAAAGCAAACAGTTCAGAATTTGATGATGTTTTTCTCAGAAATACTGGATGCCTGAGAACGAGCTTGAAGCAGAAGAAATAGTTGAAAAATAATGATTTGAAATTGTAATTTTACAGCTCATAATCTGTTCTTGAGTTGCCATTAAAAGTGTTGCTTGTTCATTTTTGAGTCAGATTTTCCTGACAGTTCGAGCAGAATTGTGAACAAAGTTCCAAGTGTCCAGGGACTGGATTCTGGTCACGGTCATCACAAACATGGTGGAGTAAAGCCTGACTGTGCACAGGACCTCCCATTTTGCCTTTATGATAATGACTATCCCATGTGAGTTACAGACATGCCATTTGTTACTTTATTGTGGGATTGACAGGTTTAATTATGTGCACTACAGATTATCTTAATACCTCATGAAGTTTTAGAAAACACAAAAACAATATTAATGTTGTAAGTTACATAAAATCTTTTATTTGAACTAGTGTTTTCCATGATTTCCAGAGACACGGTACATGACATCATCAACAATTATCATGATGATGTTCACCACATGTATTACCGACTGAACCATTATTCGCAACAGGATTACTTGGCACATGACAATTACACTCATGGCTACAGGTAAGTTCACGTTTTGTAATTGGTTAATGATCGGCGTATTGCCCCGCCATGTGGGTCTGCGTGCAAACTGTAGTGAAAACTTGCTTCAGTCAACAAAAGAAAGTGCCCGTGTAATTTGCTTGAAAGAATTGTCTCCTTGCAGATGGCATCGCTCTTTCAGAATTGGCTTCTACATGATTGTAAGATGGACCCACTGTTCTCATTTAATTATTTGTGTTTCAGACACAAAGGCAACTTTGTGTGCGAGTCGGACGTGTCGTATGTTCGACCAGGCTGGGCCAAAAACTGGAAGAATGAATGGGTAACGGTTGTTAACACAGAAAAATATCCACAGAGCGTACGTGTTGAGATATGCAAGTAAGTGATATATATGATTGGGCCAATTTCATTCTCCATGTAGATTTAAGATGCAGCGCGTGGAAAATAAATTTATTTATTTTGTGTCGGGGTACCCACCTAATCTGTCAGGCCAATCATTCATAAACTGGGGGCATGAAGTGCTTTCAGGGGGCAGAGAATGATGCCATAAGAACAAAAATCACTTTGTAATGGCAGATTCAGATGAGAGACAAATTTTTAGCAGCTTTTAATCATCAATTCTATTAGCATCTGTCAGAATTGTTACTCCATGTGTTAAAATAATTACAATAGATTTCAGTATTTGTCAGCATATTCATTGTCTAAAGAGCTGACTGTTTGGAGTGACTTGAGCACAAACCACAAGAAATTTAAAGATGATCCAAAGGACGTGTTCGCTGCCAGACTTTATTGCATAATAACTAATAGTAATACCTCATTCTCTTTCTTGGTGCAAGGTAATGACTTTCTGACACTCTCTTAGAATTGAGAGGAATGTATGGAGTATGACATGTTGCTTACGAACATTACAAATAAAATATTTGAGTGCTTGGGAATAATTTTGCTACCTAACAATTAAGTATCTTAAGTGTTCTTTTTATAACTATTTTTCTTTTATTAAAGGTATGGTGGGAAGAAATGTGAATACCTTCCACCTTGTTACAAATCTTTCTGTGTGCAGCGTTTTGCCTACGTTAAATTGTTATGTGTGGATCCCTTCAATCAACACCAGCGTCCAATTGTGGATGTTTTTGAGATTCCTACTGCTTGTTCTTGTTTTGTTGAGAATTTTGTGTACTATTAAATAAATAACTGTACTGGCAATATACAGCCTAAGCTACTGTCAGCATCATTAAATAAACCACAAATAATAAATGACGACTGAAAATTTCAGTACTCTGGATGCATAACATATTTCGACTACAAGATTATAAATATACTCAGCTTTTCTGATCATACTGTAATGTTTATGCATTTATTATATTAATTTATATTTATGAAATAATATAATCTTTTACATGAAATGTGTTACACATGGAGTTTATGTTTGAAAATTGGTCTGTGTTTCATTTATAGCATTTATTTCTGGCCAAGCAGGAAAAGTGCCATATTTATTAGTGTAAAAACTATAAAGATGCATCATTTAGCCTGCTGAAATATATTTTAATGGTAAAATTACTGGAAATTAGTGGAAAAAGGGTTTTTGTTCTGTCACTACAGTCAATTAATAAGATCAAGTATAAATTATGGAACACTCCTTCCTTTCTAAATGTTAGTCAAGGGAAGCAAAAATGATGAATAAGTACCGAACTTAGTAGAATTTTGTGTTGGAAAGAAAATTTATGGAGGCAATGTAATATGTATTTTTTTCTTAGTTGTTCACATAAGTATTAAAAATGTCAAGTTCAAGGAAATTGTTAACTTTGCAGGCAAACTTATACAGAATACTCTAACACTAAACTTTCAGAATTCAGTCAATAAAAATAGTAGTCATATTAATATTTGAAATCCGAGTCTAACTCTTGGGTAATGATAGAAAAGCATTCATTCAGCTGATGGACATGCAGTGAAATCATGAGACCACAATGAACTACTCTGCACTTTAAAATCTGCATTAAATGTATATGGGATTTGAAGTCTTCATGACAGTGAAAATGTGGGTGACTTCAGACAGTTCTTGGTTGGCATAAGTGCCTTCCAGGTTGCTGAACTGTGGGGTTCTCTGCGTAAATTTTGTGTCAAAGCTCTCAGTTAATGCTCTGGCACAGTTGGCAATAAAGGAAAGTCCAAATCATCATGAATTTGCCTGTTACTAATGTACCATGGTGTGTTACTTGCAATGTGAGGACACTTTGATTGAAACACATGCAGCTGCAAGTAGTGTACCTCCAGATGAGGCATGCGTGGTCTGTCGCAGGATGGACGAACTCTTTGTAAAGCTGCACACCACATTGATGGAAAGGCTACTTCTATTAAGAAGGTGAGGTGTAAGGATTTAGATACTTTATATAGAGTAGACAGACCAGGCTGTGTCAGGAGAAAGGAAGAGCATCGCTTCTAGAAGCTATGAGAAGATGCAGTGCTCCATAGGAATTAGGTGGGAAGGGGTGAGGAGGTGAAACTGGACAGAAATACCCTAAAAAGGACAGCATTTGAAGTTCTGAATATGACAAAAATTGTCGGATATTCATAAAATATAAGCCCCTCTGATATATTTTAAATTTTACAAATATTACACAGTTTGGAAGGCTGACGTATTAGTTTTGCTAAATTTATCGTAAAATTAAATGCGTGAAATTCTATTTCGGTTGTAATTTTTCTTTTTAATGCCTCTATAACCTTTCGCCGGCCATTTATTTAGCAGAAACCATGGCAACCACATGTTCAGAATCATAATTAAATTCAAAGTTTTTCTAAAGATGGCAGATAGAACCTACTTTGCCAACATAACCCTGTACATGTATCCCTTCCATATGTTTAACATTATTAATATTAAACAACTGTTATCTGGGAAGCATGGTAATGGGTCATAAATTATAATAATTAAATTACATTATTATATAATTTTTAACATGCATTTGGACATTCTATAAGCAGTTTGTATGCATATGCTGACGATGACTTAGAGTTATTATGTTGGTGGTACGTCATTGAAATTCTGATGTGACGAAAATTTCTACACTAATCTCACGTCAGTTGGTTTCGGCATGTGGCTGTAGTTGGGTGTGTGTTTGCCTGTGTAACTTTAACTAATGCGTTCTCATTATATAATTTCTAATTTAATTGTCATTCTGAATATATCATGGAAGAAGTTAAGCAAGAAGACGTTCACCAACTTCTGGAACATTTCTCTAAATGTTTATATAAAGCCAAGGAGGCGGATTCGAAGGTATGATAGAGAGCCGTTTAGTGGAAAGCACATGGTTCCAGTTTACACATCGTGTGTGACAGTTGGGTGTTTGAGCTAAATTATTTCGTTAGTGGACAGTGGAAAAATTAATGTATCAAATTAATGCCAGAATGTAACTGTATATTTCAGTAATAAATTTTGATTGTAATCTTTAAATCTGGTGGCCCAATTAGATGGGTTGCCCTACTTGCAAGTGTCTAGTATTGTAATAATTTGTTTATACAACCTTTCCTGGAAGGCTGAGATGAGCCACGAATTTTTGTGCTCATATGTTTTTGAAAAGGCATCTGCCATGGCCTGCTAATTTTCATATGGATTTATTTTATATTGTACAAGCACCGTATATTTATTCTTCACACTGAACAACATGTACTTAACCTGCTTAATATACATTCGTGTGACTTCACCTGCCTATAAGCCCATTGCCCACTCCATTTAAAATACTAGTGTGTGTGATGCTTTCAGCACAGTTTTATTTTCTTGAGTGTTTAAATTTTAATTGATGTTTAACTTTAAAACTTTTTTTGTGATCTGTTGGTTTCATAGGACAGAATCTTTTAAGGCATGGGTTTCTCCACTTTTACTGAAGTTTCTTCTGTATTGAAACATTTATTGAATGAGTTGTGCCAAAAAGCCTTTATGTTCCCCAGTATTTTATAATATAGTGATAAAGAAGGGATTTACTGCTTACTTGCAGAGTCAAGATGTGATGCAACGGTGCCTGAAACTAGTCACATTGGATTATAGTCATGTCGTAAGTATTTGCAGAATATACACACAATTGCTACAGTGTGACCTTCCATTATCCAACTTCTATATTCCATTACTTCAGATAATTTTTTCAAAGCTAAATTCTCAATTACATTTAGTATTTTTTCACATGTAATTTAAACCCTGCCTTACACTACTGTGTCAAAATCTCAAGACAAAGTTTCTTCCTTGGAGCTCTTTAATATTGTATATCCACTTAGGCACCACACTTTGGGAGACATGCACATGAAATGGTACCAGAGCGTGAAATATTAAGGTCCATTGTCCATAAATTCTTATTATCTTTCTATTTTGAAAATAACATTATTTCTGCTCATGCTAATAGTGTCTTTCTTACCTGTCAAGGTTATAAGCAATATTGGAGGAGAACTAAGTGCAAATTACCCAAGTCACTTAATAATCCTGGAGTATGAGCGTCCCTCTGCTAATGTCAGTGGAAATCCGCGCCCCTCGGAGCCACCTCGCACGACTGGCACAATCTATGAGAACATGCATGATGCAACAAAATTACGTGAGCTTTTTGGGAAGTCTCGATTTGCACGTTGCCGGGCAAGATTCCCACTTCCAGTAATTTTGTATCGTGGGAAACACATATGCAGGTGTGACTTATTTTATTTTATCAGTATCAAAGAGTTCATCTCTTTTTTTAGAATAAATTTTATATTCTCTGTTATTTTGTATAGATCATCTACGCTATCTGGAGGCCCCGAAATTTACGGTCGTTCCGGTTTAGACTACCTCTTCTCCGTCACGGAGACCAGCGCCGAGGACGAGGACGAGGAGGTGATGGGCGCAGCGCAGACTCAGAAGGACTGGCAGTTGTTTGACAGAGTGCGAAGTCAGGACATCCGTCTCCTCAAAACGCTTAATGTCGGAACCATTATTGATTTCATGGTTGAGAAGAAAAAAGTGAAGTTTGGAATGAAGTGAGTATTTAAGCTTGGACGCATATCTTTGTCGCTGCAGTGTTTTCACTGTACTAGTGAAGTCACTTTTAATTCCATAATTGGTGCACTCACGAGTCTATGGATACACGTTTGGGTAATTCCTCCATCAAGAGCAGACAGATTGTTTCTAGCATGCGCTTTTCCTGACTGCATGAATACTTAGAAAGTGGGAACACGGCTTCCTTTATGAAGTGTGTTTTGTGTTGTGCTCTAATAGAAGTTGTTAAATAGTGTAAACATTTAAGCCCCTTAAAATTGTACTTTTAATATAAATATGATTGCCTCCAATATCTTACAGTATATTCTTGCGAGAGCTCAGGCAAGTGGCTGTGGATTGGATGTCTGGGATTTTTCTTGTCAGGGGCATTGGACATTTTTCGCCTTGCTACCGCGTTGAGAGTGGCCAACCTCCCATCCAGTGAGTAGCAGAAGTCCTTTTCATGGGTAGAAGAGTGTTCAGTGTGTGGAGTTGACCGCGTCCGTCCATGCAGTCTGATGTCTTGATGGTGTGTTGCTTGGGCACAGGAGAAAATGCAGCTTTTACATTTTTCCACCTGATGAAGTAATACGTCAGAAGATAATTTTTATAAATGTACTCTCTTCACAGTGTCACTTCATCTGAAAAGGTAGACAAAGAGAATCGTTATTCAGACTTTACGATCGTATCCCTGCCGTATCCAGGATGTGAATTTTTTAAGGAATACCGCGATAATGATTATGTTGCCAAGGGTCTGGTTTTTGATTGGACGCAGTCTCACGTGGATGCCGTAATTGGAGTGCCGGATGATGCTGTATCTTCCCAACTCAAGATTGACTGGGAGAAATACAAGGTATTAGAATTGTACCAGATTAGCTCAGATGTAAGCCACACTTTCTTCTTAAAATTTGTTTTCTGAAAAGTGGGTGCAGCATATATGCAATACCTTGATAAAAATCGTCATTGGTCTGCCTGCATTATACGATGTTTGTCTTTAAAAATGCCCAGACACCACAGATTTTTAACAGAATTTGGTATCGAAGAGAGTAGTCTGGTGGAAGTTACCAGCATTTCAGAGCCTTGCTACCTCCATCATCATTGTCATGAGTGAGCACTCATCGCATTGGTTAACTTCTACCAAACTGCATGGCGCTACAACCCAGAAGACAGCCATTTTCGGACTCACCGCCATTAAAACCTCAAATTTTAAAATGGATATCACAAATTGCATTACATAAGCATAATGAAAGGAGTTGGAAAGAAAATTAAAATTCCTTTGGTGATGCATAAAGTTAAAAATAAAGAAAGTAGTAACACATGCATGAGCAGGAAGGATGCGTATTTAAATGTATTTTTCGGTATGGAACTGAGTTTTAAGCATTAGTATATATAATGCATTTTTAAATACATGCTCTTTAATGTACTGCATTTGGGGAAATATTTCGGCCAGTTTGTGTTAGAAGTAAATGAATAGATTGTTTTTGTTTTGCAGGTGTGGGACTTGGTCAAACTGACACAGAATTACATGAAGCTATTGTTACGATACTTACAAGAAAATAGCACAGGTCTTCTTATTCACTGCATTAGTGGTTGGGATCGTACTCCCTTGTTCATTTCACTGTTACGCCTCTCGCTGTGGGCGGACGGCGCCGTCCACCAGTCTCTTGATGCGAACCAGATTTTATACTTTACCATTGCTTATGACTGGATGCTCTTTGGGCACAATCTTATGGATAGGTTAAGTAAAGGTGAAGACATCTTTTTCTTCTGTTTCTACTTTCTGAAACATTTGGTAGGGGATGAATATAGCGTGGCTCCGCGTTCAAAGTCGAAACAAAACGTCGGTGGCGGCGGTAGTAGTAGTGCTGCGGCAGTGCTACGAAATGACTCCGATCTGCACCTGGATGGTATGCTGTTTGACGCAGATTGTGCCATTAGTTCACGGGGCTCAAACATCAGTCTTAACAGTTCGTGTAGCTCAGTTAGTAGCAAAAGTCAAGAAAATCCACCTGTGCTCTTCCACAACGTGCCTGACATATCTGATGAACATACTAATGGGTGAGTTTTAAAAGTTATCAGAATTGAATGTATGTACTTGAGGTTAACATATTTTCTATTTACTTTGTACTGCAACATGTGATGTTTCCTGAAAACATATTTACGTGTGCATATGTGAATCTTTTGCTTTATTTTGGAAAATTTGGAATGTTGATTTTCCATTAACATTTTCGTTCATTATATGATTTGAAGCAGTCATGGCAACTAAATCCAGTAAAATCTTCTCGGGCAATCAGCCGTGTCAAATGCTGGCATGAAGAAACCAGTGTTTTGATAACCACCTCTCTCCCCATCATCATGTAACCATTTGACGCATCCGATTTCCCGAGAAGATGTTATTGGATTTTCTTTGAACTTTTGTTATTTTGTATGAACTGAAATATAGCCCAAAGCATTTTGTTTCAGAAGCCTAAAGAATTATTTTATTCTTTCAGAAATCTTCCCATTTACAACGCTCAGACAACGTGGCCTCCTCACTTGCAGCCATCGGGATTTGAGTCTGCCCTCCCTGGTCTTGGAAGCCTGTCTAACCAGGGTGGATCTGGTTCAGGGCCACGATCCCCACATCCCAGCAGAACAAGTCCTGTAGCAGTTCCAGTAGCTAGTCGCTTCCGACAGCGCAACGACTCCAACAGCTCACTAAGTGTTGGAAGGTGAGAAAGGATTAATCTTTTAAAATAGTGCACATTCCTTGTACTTAACTGACATCTATATACAAAAAATCCTCACTACAGTTACTTTTTATGTTAATGTTAATGTAAATGTAAGTAAGACTAATGTTACTTCTGAGCACCCCTTAATCAGAAGAGGGTTTCTGCGCTATCCACAAAACTGTGAATCATTACTCATTTTGCTGCCGAAACGTCTCTTTTCGTTTGAAGACTTGAGGATTATGTGGTAATGAAGCACAAAACAAACAACCTTTGTATGCATTCTCAAAATTTCTACTCACATGGGCAAGGTAATTGTGATTTTTTCCTCACTTTAACATCCGTATTGATCATTCTGTCCATTGGATGGAATAAAATGAATATTAAGCCTTTCAGCAATTTCAGCAGTTTTTTGTATGAACCATTCAGGTAATTTAGTTTTTACATCTCTTATTCAGAATTATAATTGAATTTGTCAGTGCCTTTGAAGTCTTAACACATATTTGGTACAATCTTTTACATCTAGCGTGATTTTCTAGCTGGCAACTTATCTCTGGGACCGGTAGTTTACGAGGATCTGCCTCCGCTTCCACATCAACAGGAGATTCAGCCACCCCAAACTCTTTGCTGTCCCAGAATAGCAGTAATACGTCTTTGTAAGTACTTGATACAAAGTACAGTGCGTAACTGATGTTACAGGGGTTTGTGTCTCTTTCAGCTGATTTAAATGCTTGATTTTTTTTGTCCTGGGCATTTACTGTATTTGTTAACGGAGCCATTTTTGATGAGAAAGAAATGCCACTCTTTTGATGGAAATGTCTCTCGAAGAATTCGATTGCTTATAATATCATCTTGATAATAACGTATCTTCGTCTGTCTGTTCCATGCCTGAATGTGAAGTGGTGATAATTCTAATTTCTGATTAATGTTGTGTTCCTGCGATTGGAATGTGCCATGTAACGGCAGCGTGCGTATTTCAGGATCCGCTGGCTAGAAGGAACTTTACCTCTGCAAGTGGCCAGTTGTGCTGCATTTATTAAGCTCTCATTACCAATAAGTATTGTTGCAACATAAATAAGCATCCAGGTTGCATACATATATATGTATGCGGAGCATTTAAAGTTTATGAAATTTATGTTTAATTATTAAGTGGCCAAATAAATGCCAATCTGCAGGGTGTTGAGGGCTCAGAGTTGGCGAGTGTTTGAGTTACGGTTCTATCGTAGTTTTTCCATTGAAATTTAGTTTGAAATACTTTATGCACTTAACACTGCATTCTGTGTTGTATTTACAGATGTGAAGGACAAATTTCGACCGAATCAAGCACAACCATAGTTGAAGATGAATGTTTCATATATAATTCAGGACCTGCAGATACTACCACTTTGTAAGTGTTGATTCATCGTTATTATTCGTGAAAATTTAACTACAACTGTTGAAGCATTTGTCGTGTAATTGTGAAGTGTTCCGAGGCAGAATTTACAATAGTTGCTGTGAGACAATGGTGTAAGTATGTCAGTTTTACTAACAGCGTATCCATTAATGATCAAGACCTCGCCTGTGGAACAGGTTTTCTCTCTGCCTGACAGTCAGTGGGGTGACAAATTTTTCTGTCAGTGACTCCGGTTTTGAGGTTGTGACGTTGTTTTCGGGCGTAACCCCAATAATAATTACTGTATTGAAATCCTCTTATATAACATCTTGAAGTAAGTAATTTTGAAAGGTGGCTCAGCCATGATAACACTGGTGTTCAATTATTGCACTAGTAGTTGGTAATTATTATGAACTGTTTCAGGCGACGGGAGAGACTCCAGACTGTCCGAACACTCTTTTATAATGCTTATTGCTCAACAGTTGGATTCAAGTTTAAAAATGGTCAAGATTCGGGACTTGGAAGCTTGCTGGGTAACTTTGCTGAGAAAGTTGGCATAATTTCAACTCAGAGGACCTCAGTTTAGGAACAGAACGATTTAAACTTTTCCTGTTTATAAGTCTGATAAGTGTAATCTTAAATGAGACTGTTGTACAAATATAGAGGAAGATAAATATTTTTATAACCTACGACTTGTTTTGTAAATGAGAGTTGCAGCGTATGTGATGCAGGTATAAAATATACTTTGGTGCTTGTTTTTCACTGCCTACCTAATAATAATGAAAGAAAGATGTACCATAAGTAGAACATTATTTCTTAGGCATGTGTGAGAACAACCTTTTTTAATTTAAGATAAGAAAATGGAACAATTTTGAGAATTGAGACAAGAACATGAATTTTCTTTGCTAGACCAATTTTTCCACTATAATCCCATTATAACACTAGCCACTATTTTTTCAATACACTGAAGTATTAGATCCTTCTCCAATGAAGAATGTTCATAAATCATTGTATTTAAAAATTCGCTTCTAGGGCCATGTCTTCTTTCATCACTTTTTGAATCTTGATGTCAGTACCAATTTCAGATTTTCGCTGCGTCTAGATATTTGCCACAGAAGTTGAATTATAAGTAACATGCAATAGTTTTATTGCATGGTGCAATAACCTACACCAGTGTTTCAGTAATTGACCAAGATAAGTCTGTAAGTGTGTTTACCCATTTGGGAATCTGAACGTGTCTTAGAATGCTGCGTGATGATGTTACCATGAGCACATGACACGGTTTGCAAATGTGAGAATTAATATAAATATGAAAATTAAGAAGTAACTCTGAAGTGCATGATTATATTCAGTCCTTAGGGTTTATGTATACCAGAATTTCATGTTACAGTAAAACACAGGTATAATGAACATGAATATAACACGTTCATGGCTATAGCGAGCAAATGACAACTTCATATTTAATTTACCAAAATTTATTCACAAAATTCTCATTATATTGAGCATACTTCATGGATATAATGAGTAAAATTGGTTTATCTGAAAAACAAAATGTTTGAGATCTTTGTGTCATGATACCTTTTCAGTTGTTTACATTCTTACTCTTACAGCACAAGTTGGTTCTGACGTGTTCTGGCTAGCCTGCTGTGAAAAAGTTATAATTATTTGCAAGTTAGAGCATGGTGGAAAAAGAAACTCTGTTAAAAGGGAAGACGACAGTGGCTAGGACATTCGTGAATAACGGTGCCCGCGAAACCATTAGTAACTTATTCGCAAGCCAAGGATGCTGTGCAGGTGTTAGTTAACTTTTTTAAAACAACATTTAGTGAAAAGATACCTTACAGACATCAAAGTAACTGATGAGACAAGTTTCTATCCAAAATTACATTCAGACAAGGTAATAATTAGTGTATATTCATTTCTATATTTTAAAATTACTTTTATGCATGTTTTATTTTCTGTCATTTTTATTAATCTGTTCTAGATAAACATTTGAAAATAATTTTGTATTAATTGTGAATACCATCTAATCATTTCTTATTTATGTTTGTGAATATGTTTTTATATTCCTGCATTTTGCAAATAATGATTATAATGAGCAAAAGTAATTGGTTCCAATGCACTCATTATGAACGAGTTCAACTGTATTACATTGTGAACAGATGACTCCGTTTAAAGACTGGAGTAAGGACATTTCTACTTACAAGTTGGCATTTCTGATACTGACATGAATTGGCAGTTGACAAAGTTAAGTCCCGATGCTCTGCCCATAGAGAAATAGGGAGAGAGACAGATTGATTTATGCTAGCATTGCCAACCAATACAGTTCATATGAATAGGGTAGTTTGCGTGCTACTGTGCAAAGCTAAAGTAGTTGTCTAAAAATTCTTGATGTTCAAGACTGAAAAATTAACATTCAAGTTGTGACTGAGATTTTATCCTTACTCAGTCTTGAAAACAGAAGACTCACACATGCCTGTTATTTCTGATTTAAGAATTCAAAAGTTTCATTTTTAGAAACAAACTGCCACATTGTAAAATGCTGCAAGTATTTTTGTAAATCACACGCAGCGTACAAATGTTTACTCCCTTTAACCAACCATAATGTATTATAAGAAATTTATGTATAAAGAATGACAGTTGTAAAGTAAATCTTGGTACAATGAACTTCTGTGGTCTGACAATTTATATTTGTTACAATTAAATTTTGCAATAAAAATATTAATAACAAAAAATTTGTATCACACTGACCACTACTATATAAGATTTCCATTACTATTGCAGTAGAATAGAATAATGCATGACAGTTCTCACATGGGCTGGAGAACATGAGACTTATTGTCTCTGAAATGTTTATACAGTGAGGTTGATATTGGTTCCTCGAGCATGTGCGTGTTTCCTTATGACACGTCGTTCACTGCTTGGTCGCTGTGTTGATGGTGTGGTTGGGATTGTGGGTGTGCTTTGAGTTGAAGTAGACTGGACCATTTGGATTAATGGAAGAGAAGCTTGCGACTTGCGGAGTTGTTGAAATTCTTCAGAGAGTTCTTCTAATTTTGTCTTCAGTAATTGTTGTTGTGTTGTAATGGCTTGAACTGCACTGATAAGGCTGGTCAATGTTTCAGTACTTTCCTCTTTATGTAATTTCTTATGGATTATGTATTGTTCCTGTGTCACTTGATCAAGTGAACTTGCAAGTCCATTCAACTTCTCAGTAGTTTTATTCTGCATTTGTGTCAGATCATACACCTTTTGCAACTGAATCTCAGTTTCATTTTGTCTGAGACTATTCTCCTTGTACAGTGTATCAATTTTTAGGTGAGCTGATTCATCCCTCTTACAGCTATAATTACTTACTGATTCCTTGATAGTCATAATTTCATTCTGAAGAATGTCGGACTTCTCCCTGTGTGACTCTATGGATCTCAGACTGTTTTTAAGAATTTCAACTGATCCTTTCAATTGAGCAACATCATCTACTAAGTAGTCTGTAGTTCCTTGGTAAGTGTCAAGAGACTCAAATTTTTGCAAACATTTATGTGAAACAATCTTCAATTCTGTTACATCATGTGACAGATTGACTTTCATGTTTTGGTACTCAGTCAGAGAACTCATATTTCCTTTGACGCTTTCCAAACCGATTCTCAGTTTTCTGACTTCGTTTTGTAGTTCATCTGTCTGTTCTTGATACTCCGGAAAATTATTTAAGATATCTGTGTGACTTCTTACAAAATCTGTAAGACAGCCAATATTATCACATACCTCATTTGCTGTTGCTTGAGAGAAGAGTAATTGTGTTATTAGTACCACTAAGAATACTATTTTCACTGTTTGCAGAGACATTGTTTGATTACCTACAGTGCTCTTGTGTTCAGAACCACACGAATTACATCCATACAGTGAAAACAGCTAGATGAGACTGGCAATTCGATTAAAAACAGTTGTTGATATGCTATTTCAAGAATAAAGATAAATAGGTCATGACATCTACATGAGGAAAATGAAGATAAGGACAATTTGTTAAGCACTGAACATGTCAATAGACACATTTTCTGTGCATAGTTTTATTAATGTAGGGGATTTCCATGACAAAGATCAGTTCCTGAACTTTATTCATTTAAACAAAGTTGTCTTTTGTATCAACACTCTTACCCTCTGGTGGAGCATGGCCATCAAGGTCAATAATATTATACCGGTGTACAAAAAAAATCAGGTACTTTGAATTTTCATTAATATTAATGTTTTTTTCTTAAAATTAGGCAGACATATTAGCAACATTGTTTTACAGATGCCTGGCATAAATCATTGTAGTTAATAGAAGGTATAGAAAAGTCTCATACAGACAAATACAAGGAGATTACAAATGATTGGAATTATGTCCCAGCTGTACACTTACATCACTTGTTTTTTGGACTTAATCTGTTCACCTATACTTCAACCAAAACATTTATAACTTTCTGTTAATTCTATTGACATATAGAGATTCCTGACATTCCAAGTTATAAATTTCATGTCTTTTCTGTTACTTAGGTTATTACATATAATTCATGTAAGTCCAAGGTCTTTGTAACGTTTGTAATATGCTTCAAATTAAAGCAGATGAGATGGGCATTGCATGTAGCACACTTGAGAGATGAAAAATACAACTTTTTTTAGAAAACCTTTAGGGAAGATACTGAAGAAGGTGATTAACGTAGGCCTAACGTAAAAGGACATTCCGATTTTCTTCGTTCTTTAGAGCAACATATGAAATGAAACAGAGGATATGGGATCAGGTGTTAATGGTTTTATGTGTTAAGAAATTAGGACGAATTAATCGATTTAATAGCATGGATATTCATAGTTGTGCAAGAGTAGATAGTTGCCGGTATTTGCCGTGTGATGGTGCTGGTGGTGTTTCTCTCATCTCGTCAGTGACTAGTGCATAGAATGAGATTTCGTCAGTGGTGACATTAAATTTTGTAAAGATGTTTGAATCTGGTGTTGATCTTGGATTCGATTTTGCAGAATTAAGTTCGGAAGATCTGAATTTAGAATGTGGCGATCTGCTCAATCAAGAAGAGTCATTGGCAGTTTCCAGTTCCCAGAATGACTTCATGTTTTACGAGTTGAAATCGAAAACAGTACCAGAGAGGTTAGTTTCATTCCAGTATTTTATGCAATGATTGCAATTCAAGATCTCTATTTGTGATGCATTAGATGATTGTGCGTTTCAGTATATTTATATATAAACCTGCGTTTTTATCAAGATCATATGAGAATCGCGACATATAAATACCTTGACATTTATTAGAAATGTACCATTACTTTTGTGCGATAATCTTCAGCGGACAGTGTATTGATGCCATTTTGGAATTATTTCCTTGTTGCGAAAAAAAAAAATCTTGGCGTGAGACTTAAATTCTGGAAATGCTTGAAACTTTTCTGATTTCTAAGTACCTAAAGATTAAAATATACAAAACAATAATTTTGCCTGTTGTTTTGTATGGGTGTGAAACATTGTCTCTCACTCTGAGGGAGGAGCATAGATTGCAGGTGTTTGAGAATAGGGTGTTGAAGAGGATATTTGGGCCTAGGAGAGAAGAGGATGGGGCATGGAAAAAACTGCATATGACGAGCTTAAAAATGTGTACTTCTCCCCCAATATTGTCTCATTCTAAGAAAACACAGATTAAACATGATGAAAGATTCTCAGGCTAGAAGCTGCATCAGGTGGCTGAACAGTGAACAAACCACATCTTCTCCCAACCATTCAAGAACAGAGATTGTTCTTGAAATGGCAGAAGATATGGTTTGTTCACCGTTCAGCCACCTGATGCAGCGTGTAGTCCAAGAGGCTTTCATCAACTTCAGTTGCCGCAAAATCTTCATTTCATACACTGATTAAGCATGTTTGAGAAAAGTGTAACCTACAAATATGTTTATAACAAGTTTTCTCCGTTCTCCTGGTACAGAAGACCTTCATAATTCGTAATTTTCACCACATATCATTGAGATCAAATCAAGAAGGATAAGATGGACAGGGCATGTAGTAAAAACAGAGAGACCTAAGCACAGGTGGAAATATTAAAGTGAACCTTACATAAACAATATGGGAGGTGGACATAGCTGAAGGGTTGAACACAAAAATTAACTTTCTAAATCTGTAAAAGAAAGGTGATTTCTTAACCGGCTCAGAAACTATAGCCCTATCATGAAAAATATTAGTTCAAGGATATTTTCCTAAATATTGAAGGGAGGCCTTGGCGTAGATGAGAGGATATTGTAAAAATGTTTTTTTAAGAAAAAGGATCCGAGATTGTAGACTGGATTCGTGTGACTGCTGTTGTGAAGAAGATGGTGAAACTTTTGGTTCTGTAGAAGATGAAAAATTTCAGTTTCACGGGTTTCAGTAATAGTTGGCCTTTGCCATATTAAGCCCAGTTGCTGCAGTAATTCCTTGTGTTTACTCATTTATTATGTCATGTGCCGTGCATGCAAACAGAAGCTGCTTTGCTTTCGTCTCTTAGATAAAGACACTGGAAGCTGTGTACACCTTGTTTCTGGGTGACTGCAGGCCACGTAAGCAAATACTGGAAGCCACGAAGGAAAGAGCGGGAGTGAGCTCCAAATTATGGGGGAAGTAACTAAAAGAGAATAATAATTGGAGAGGCATTTCAAGACGCAGTGTGGAATGTCCGCACTTTCTTTGACTGTGAACGTGAATGACAGTTTTATATATTTTTTTATTAAAATGCATAAACTAGGTACTCAGCATATGATACAAGAACAGAATGGAATTTGTGTACATTCCGTAGATCCTTCACAGGCTTAAGCCAAGGATTTAAAACCTTGCTTTTAATACAAATATAATTTGCATAGTGATGACAGTCAGCTGCAAAAATAATTACACAAGGAAGTGCACACGAGTTTAAAATAGTTCTGTTTTAAATTGTGACAGCAGGGAGGAGAACAACACACTTGGCTGTTAAAGTTGTTCCTGTTCAAACTTTTTCATTTCGTGGCTGTTAAAGTTGTTGTTCCTGTTCAAACTTTTTCATTTCTGTCGATACTTTAATGACTTCTGTTGTTTCGAGATCGTCTTTTAAATTTAATACGTATTTCGTTTTCCCATTCTTACTCAGAGGAATAAAGAATAGTTTTATCAGCTGTTACGTGTTTATCTGAATATTGGATGAAATTCTTGTAAGATTCGAGGTGTTCACAGCGGTGAGTTTGAAGATTTCTGTCTTCTGGGTTGTTGCGCCGTGTAGTCTGGTCGATGTTAACCAACGTTTCAGAGGTCATACTGCCTCCATCTTCAGGGCGATGAACATCGACCAGTCTACACAGCGTAACAACCCAGAAGACAGAAATCTTCAATGAAATTCTTGCATGTGCGTACTGGAGATGGCACGCATTTGTGATGTAGCAGTGTTTTGTTTAAGAATTTGTACTCGGTTGTCAAGCGGAAATGCGGACCGGATTACGTATCCTTTAGCTGCTTCACGGCCATTTGTTTCTGAGGCACTATGACATCTTTTGCTTTAGAATTGTTTTCTCTCTTCACGTTTATTATTAGGAAATACTAAACTAGGAACTCTGTTTGTGTTAGTTTACGAAGGCAATCCAGATTCAGCAATTTGTAGTGGAATTTACAGGTTACAATAGTTTGTGTTAGGTCGAATGACTGTAAAAGATCACCGATTCAGTAAGAGGCGTGCGTGGTCATTGGACTGGTCCATTTTGACGCTTCTGTGTTCATGTGAGGATGAGGAGAACAGTTACCACAAAGAGTAACAGGTACCCTATTTACCGATAGATTGTTTGTCCATGTCTTAGTCATTCATGACATATTTTCCGGATTGTAGCGCCGTGTAGTCTTGTAGAAGTTTATCCCATTTTCGGAGGTCCCTGCTGCCTCCACCTCTGAAACGTCGGTAAACTTCTAGCAGACTACACGGCGCCGCAGTCCACACTCACCGCCGTGAAAACCAAAAATCCTACTTGATTAAGTTTCCAGTCGGCAGATGCATCAGTCAACTTGGCTTATCGGAACTATTGTCGTGTGTTCGGAGCAGCTTTGTTGTTCCTTGCGTCAGTCGGTTTGACCGCTTGGCCGCCCGAAAACTTGGAGTGGACTCAACAATCTTGTGCCGACTGCGGCAAGATATTGGTTAAGTTGGCTTGCGTGTGCAGAAAATAGCCGAGGCGCTGATTCGCAGTTTGAGCGCAGCGTCGGGACGGCCAAGTGCTCGTCGGAACAGAAGAAAATTTGTGAGTGAACGAAAATGGAGGTTGCCTGCCAACCTCTGTCTTCACATCGCTCCGGAGTTAGTGACGACGGTAGTTTAATGACTACGAACGAGCAGTTAAGTGAGTTCCAAGACATAATTCAAAGAATGGATCGTATTCTGAACGAACACGTAACAACGAACTCGTGTTCTGCTAGTTTGACGAACAGAACTCTGGATCTTGTTGGGATCGACCGCACGCCGAATAATCAGCTTTGTCGTAGCGCTCCTCCTACTTCGACTGTTGCAGAAGACGTGTTCCCCCCGGCGCCCGAAAGACGAGCGTCGGTGGGCAAAGAAATTCCTGCCACTGTTCGGGTTAATATCGGCATCGACGAGGACCTGAAAATGATTCTTGAAATGGACCCCAGTATTATAGACGTGGTGGCGACGGACAGCCAGACACAGCAGCAGCAGGTGTCACCTCCGGACAAGGTGGTGGGGTTACCTCCGCGAGCTGGCGGGTACGATCTCCTAAAGTCAATTGTAAATCGGGAATCTGGTGTCGCTGTGGCAAAGGGAGTTATTGTAGGTTGATAACTAACGAGAAACCTTTACCGGTGGATGGTAGTAAACTAACCCCATTAGTCTCTTATGGTCTTCGGGTTTGAGTGGTCACCAAAGGTTTTGGAGGAACGTAACGCCTTCATCTTCAGGTATAAGTATCCTGGAAATGGCGGTCGTGGCCTACGTTTTCCGAAGCGTCTGCGATCCTTGTGCTGTGTTTTAGGCGGTGATGAACGCTCGAATTATATCAGAGTGAGTTTGTGTTCGGATCCTAGGGGCCACTGGGATCACGGATTCGAATCCCGATTTTACTTTTTTCCGTGTTTTCCTTTGAAGATACAAACCTAAAATTTGTGCTCCATTTCCGGAGGATTAGAATGTAAGAACGAAGATGCCCGTCTTCTAGGTTTTAGCGCCGTGTAGCCTGGTAGAAGTTTACCAAGGTTTCAGAGGTCCCTGCTGCCTCCATCATCAGGGCGATGAGTCACCAGACCACAACCCATGAAAACCTCAAATCGTACAAAATAAGACCTATTTGAAGGGAGGAGACTGCCTGTAGAGATGTTTGGGGGGGGGGGGGGCTGAAGAAGCTATGTTGTGGGTAGCAGACCAGTTGAATTCCTGTGTCTGTCTACTCCCGGGAAGCACCGAGTTATTTCAGTACCAATACGATAGCGCGTTTGCGATATGAGTGTTGCACAATATCTCGTTCTTCCGAGAAACTCTGTGCGTCACTTTTGCCGTTAATGAAGGTTGTTGAAGCGACGGATTTACGACAAAGCCATGGCGTGGTGTGGCTTCGAACAGTGCGATCCTTGTCTGCCAGGTCTCTCGTCTGACGATCCCACGTGTCGGCTTTCTTAGGATATTTTGCGCTTGTCCTCGCTTGAAACCGAAGCACAAATATTTATGAAGTGCGTTTGTGCCTCACGCAAAACGCACTTCGTCTCTCTTGTGAAATGCGTCTATACAAGTTCTTCCTTTGTCGTGACATTGACATTTTCCTCGCCCTGTTTCGTGCCATCATCTGGACGGAAACCAGCATCCTTTCTTTAACCTACGCCGGATACGAGCAAAGGACGACGTGGCCAC